TCTTCACGTGAGCATTTTTTACATTCATACAAGTTTTTAAACTTCTGCTCTTAATACTTTTGAGATCAATACCACCTATTTAGCACTTTAATAATTTTGCATTTATACAGCTTTTAGCTACAGCTCTGTAACACTCTTTATATTTGTATGTAGGGCAGCAACTGAAGCTCACCACTAGATGCGGCTGTCATACCATAATCAAATATTTCAGTGGTGATGTGCCGCCTGCAAACATCTTTTTTATGTAGGGCAGTGACAGAAGCACACCACCAGATGGTGCTGTTTTTCCATTATTACAAATCACTACGGTTACATGCTGCTGACTGCAAACATCTTTTCAGTATTCACACATGGAGCGGGGCCATTGTTTTGTTTAGGCATTAGCCGTTTTGTTTTGAATGGACTCTCAAAGGCTTAAAAACTTGTTTTTTGGATAAAAAAATGTACTATTTTTGATCAGGGCAGAAGTTAATTGAGAGATGTGTGAAAAAAAATCTGGAAAAAAAATGAATCCAATATGTTTTTACAGCAGTCGATGTCAGAGGCCTTTTTTAGCCACTGAGCATGTACAAAGCAGGTTTTTTGGTAATCTGATCCTACGAAAAAAACTTAAAAGGTTTCATAGTCAATGATATTACGAATCCTTTACATATTCAGGACTATAAAACCCTGCAAGAGATATCCAGTTTCAGGTTATGTTTTCTAATAAAAATCAGTCTCTCTTCTTAAGATGGTCTTATTTTCATGATACCACTTATAACAATAGGTCAATGAACTGACAGGTCATCATAACAACAGGTCACCATAACATTCAACACCATCCAACCGATCATACTCAAAGACAAGCCCACAGAGATGGGCGTGGATCCTACCTGTGTTTCCTGGATCACAAATTGCCTGACAGGAATCACACAGTTCTTCACGCTGGGGAACTGTGTTTCTGGGCCTTATTGAGAAGTACAGGGGTTCCACAACGGACGGTCCTGGCTCCATTCCTATTGACAGGGTATACACCAGACTTCAAATACAGCACTGAGTCCTGAAATTTTTGTAGAGGGCGCTATGACCACATTTTTGTTGGAAATCCATTTTGACAGTGGAAAACTTTTTGTTTAACTTTGAGTCCAACGTAGGTGTCATTGAATCCCTCGGTTTAGGTCAAACACAGGAGCTGAACTTACATTTTGAAATTTTGTAGAGGGAGAAATGAAGGAATTTTTTGATGGGTCCCCAATTTTTACATTGGCAACCATTTCTTTTCCTCTTGGGGTTCAAGATAAGTGTCATTGAATCCACTTGTCTGGACCACAGGAGCGGGTTTACGTTTTGAAATTTATGGGGCCTTTTTATGATGGATATCCATTATGACAGTTAAACCCTTTTTGTTCGTCTTGAGGTCAAACATAAGTGTCATCAATTTCATAGGTTTAGGTCAAACACAGGAGCGTGGTTCACATTAAAGAAATTTGAAGGTGGCGCCATAGAGCCATGTTTTGATGGATCTCCATTTTGATATTCAAACTGTTTTTGTTCGTGTTAAGGTTCAACTTCAGTGTCACTAATTCCACAGGTTTTGGACGCACACCAGAGCAGGGCTTTCATTTAGAAATGTTGTAGAGAACGCAGTCGTGCCATTTTCAGTTGGATCCAAGATAAGTGTCTGTTAGTCCATTGGTCTGAGTCACTCAAAGAAGCAGGGGTTTCATTTTGAAATTATGAAGGGGGTGCTATGTAGCTATTTCTTGAAGGACCTCAATTTTGACATTGAACCTATTTTTGTTTGTCTTGAGGTCAAACATAAGTGACATCAATTCCAAAGGTTTTGGTCAAACACAGGAGCGGGGCTTACTTTTTTTTTTATTTGAAGCTGGCACTCTGGAGCTATTTGAAGTTGATTCTCCATTTTGATGCTGGAGCCCTTTATGTTCAACTTTCGGTTTGTCATAATTGTACTTTATTTCAAAAGTTTGGTTCCTACACAGAAAAAGGGCTTTTATTTTTCAATTGAGTAGGGGGCAATATGTGACCATTGATGGTTGGTTCTCCATTTTGACATTTTCTTCATCACAGGGTGATGAGACTCATTTGTAATAATGGAAAAACAGCACCATCTAGTGGTGTGCTTCAGTGACTTCCCCACATAAAAATGTAGAAAATATTACAGAGCTGAAGCTAAAATACTTGGATGAAGGTAAAAATAAAAAAAATTGCTAAAATTGTATGACTTAAGTGCATTACAAGGAAAAATGATCAGTCGAGGTGCTTCAGATAGACAAATGCCTAAAAATGTATGTATTACAACCTCCCCGTGAAATGTGGAAGTACTCAAAAGAAGTTTACAGTCAGAATGTAACCATAGTAATTTTTGATTATGGTATGACAGCACCATCTAGTGGGGTGTACTTTTCACCTTTCTACCATTTATACTTTTGGCAATATTTCACTTTTTCTGTACAATTAGAAGTGATCATGAGAGTGCCAGAATTCTAAAGATGGTCTTTTGTCATGATACCACTTGGAAAAACTGCGCCAGGTAAAGAAGTTCAGACGGTATCCACTTCACCCATGGTGGAGCACTTCTCATGTGTTGTGTGCTTGTCGATTACCTACACACCTTGTCCGCACGCACTACTCCATCTTGCGGTGCGCTTCAGCTTGGTAAGTTAGTAACTGAAGCACACTATAGGGTAGTGTTGTGCCGCTACCAGTGACTATGGTTACATGCTGCTGACTGCAAACCTCTTTTGAATATTTCAACATTTCATGGGGAGTTTGTAATATATAAATCTCTAGGCACTTGTCTTTCCAAAGCACCTAGACTGATCTTTATTTATTTTTATTCACAAAAGTCTTACAACTTTTTCTTCACTTGAGCATTTTTTACATTCATAAAAGTATTTCAAATTCTGCTCTCTATACTTTTAAGATTAATACCACTTCTTCATACTTTCATAATTTTACATTCATATGCCTTTTCATACCACAGCTCTGTAACAATTCTATATTGACAAATATTGACAGGTCTTACAACTTTGTCTTCACATGAGCATTTTTTACATTCATACAAGTTTTTAAACTTCTGCTCTTAATACTTTTGAGATTAATAGCACCTATTTAGCACTTTAATAATTTTGCATTTATACAGCTTTTATAGCTACAGCTCTGTAACACTCTTTATATTTATATGTAGGGCAGCAACTGAAGCTCACCACTAGATGCGGCTGTCATACCATAATCAAATATTTCTATGGTGATGTGCCGACTGCAAACATCTTTTTTATGTAGGGCAGTGACAGAAGCACACCACCAGATGGTGCTGTTTTTCCATTATTACAAATCACAACGGTTACATGTAGTGGTGCAACGGATCATCATTGATCCGTGATCCGTTCGGATCGACGTCATCGGTCCGGCACACACGTTACCCGCAGTTCGATTTCTGAAAAAAAAAATTTGGCTTCCCTGTCAACTATGATGAGGAAGGAAAGAGGTCAGTGGAAAAAACTGCGAAGGTGTGTAGGCACTGTGGCATAAGAAAGCCATATGACAGTGGAAACACATCGAGCATGGTCACGCATTTGAAAGCGACATCACCCGGGTGTTTTAATGACAGGTGTTGTGCCGTAGACTGCACCCCTGCCGTAGAACGCACCCCTGCATCCCCTCCACTCGTTAACTTCTTAAAGTGGAGATAATGATCTCATATTTAAAGAAACATGAGTATTAGATCATGACAACATGTCAAATGGAGCAGCAAACTTTCATTTTCTTTTTATGTGTCTCAAAAATGCAAATATAGAGGTGAACTTGGGTATAAACTGTACAGAAAGCTGTCCAGGTAGAGAGCATTATATTTTCGGGACAGCAATATTCCAAGGGCTGTTGTTTTTGGCTTCTTTGAATAGCCTGAATGAAATTATTACAGGCAAACGCTTTTGAATCCATCCAATGTAAGAAAAACTTGGATTATTTCGCCTCGTTATGTACTTTAAACCGCGCTCCCGTCAGGGGGTGCATTCTACGGCTAGGGTGCATTCTATGTCACAACACCTGAGATAAAACGAAAGCTGGCCAGCAACCGCTCATCACCGCAGCATTTAAGCAGCCTCTTCCTGCGCAATCCGACCAGGTTAAAGCTATCACAAACGCTATCGGTGTGTTTATAGCTACAGACATGAGGCCATATTCAGTTGTGCAAACGAGGGCTTTAAAAACATGCTGAAAGTGCTTGAGCCACGTTACAATATCCCACCGCGCACATACTTCATTTTTGGTTCATTGTTACATTTTAAAGGAAGAAGATATGCCTATATATTGCACTTTAAGTTGTTTTTCATTAATAATTATGTTGAAAAGAAGATATTATGCCGTATGCACTACTTTAATATATTTTAATTCAACCATTTAAGTGTTTAATATACAGACAAAACTGCTTTTTGCTGATCCGAAAAATGATCCGATCCGTGACTCTTGATTCGAGGAACGATCCGATCCGTGAGTGTTGTGATCCGTTGCACCACTAGTTACATGCTGCTGACTGCAAACATGTTTTCAGTATTCACACATGGAGCGGGGCCATTGTTTTGTTTAGGCATTAGCCGTTTTGTTTTGAATGGACTCTCAAAGGCTTAAAGAATTGTTATTTGGATAAAAAAATGTACTATTTTTGATCAGGGCAGAAGTTAATTGAGAGATGTGTGACAAAAAATCTGGAAACAATATGAATCCAATATGTTTTTACAGCAGTCGATGTCAGAGGCTTTTTTTAGCCACTGAGCATTAACAAAGGATGTTTTTTGTTAATCTGATCCTACGAAAAAAACTTAAAAGGTTTCATAGTCAATGATATTACTAATCCTTTACATATTCAAGACTATAAAACCCTGCAAGAGATATCCAGTTTCAGGTTATGTTTTCTAATAAAAATCAGTCTCTCTTCTTAAGATGGTCTTATTTTCATGATACCACTTATAACAATAGGTCAATGAACTGACAGGTCATCATAACAACAGGTCACCATAACATTCAACACCATCCAACCGATCATACTCAAAGACAAGCCCACAGAGATGGGCGTGGATCCTACCTGTGTTTCCTGGATCACAAATTGCCTGACAGGAATCACACAGTTCTTCACGCTGGGGAACTGTGTTTCTGGGCCTTATTGAGAAGTACAGGGGTTCCACAACGGACGGTCCTGGCTCCATTCCTATTGACAGGGTATACACCAGACTTCAAATACAGCACTGAGTCCTGAAATTTTTGTAGAGGGCGCTATGACCACATTTTTGTTGGAAATCCATTTTGACAGTGGAAAACTTTTTGTTTAACTTTGAGTCCAACGTAGGTGTCATTGAATCCCTCGGTTTAGGTCAAACACAGGAGCTGAACTTACATTTTGAAATTTTGTAGAGGGAGAAATGAAGGAATTTTTTGATGGGTCCCCAATTTTTACATTGGAACCCATTTCTTTTCCTCTTAGGGTTCAAGATAAGTGTCATTGAATCCACTTGTCTGGACCACAGGAGCGGGCTTACGTTTTGAAATTTTGAAGGGGGCGCTATGGGGCCTTTTCATGATGGATATCCATTATGACAGTTAAACCCTTTTTGTTCGTCTTGAGGTCAAACATAAGTGTCATCAATTTCATAGGTTTAGGTCAAACACAGGAGCGTGGTTCACATTAAAGAAATTTGAAGGTGGCGCCATAGAGCCATGTTTTGATGGATCTCCATTTTGATATTCAAACTGTTTTTGTTCGTGTTAAGGTTCAACTTCAGTGTAACTAATTCAACAGGTTTTGGACGCACACCAGAGCAGGGCTTTCATTTAGAAATGTTGTAGAGAACGCAGTCGTGCCATTTTCAGTTGGATCCAAGATAAGTGTCTGTTAGTCCATTGGTCTGAGTCACTCAAAGAAGCAGGGGTTTCATTTTGAAAGTATGAAGGGGGTACTATGTAGCTATTTCTTGAAGGACCTCAATTTTGACATTGAACCCATTTTTGTTTGTCTTGAGGTCAAACATAAGTGACATCAATTCCAAAGGTTTTGGTCAAACACAGGAGCGGGGCTTACTTTTTTTTTTTAATTTGAAGCTGGCACTCTGGAGCTATTTGAAGTTGATTCTCCATTTTGATGCTGGAGCCCTTTATGTTCAACTTTCGGTTTGTCATAATTGTACTTTATTTCAAAAGTTTGGTTCGTACACAGAAAAAGGGCTTTTATTTTTCAATTGGGTAGGGGGCAATATGTGACCATTGATGGTTGGTTCTCCATTTTGACATTTTCTTCATCACAGGGTGATGAGACTCATTTGTAATAATGGAAAAACAGCACCATCTAGTGGTGTGCTTCAGTGACTACCCCACATAAAAATGTAGAAAATATTACAGAGCTGAAGCTAAAATACTTGGATGAAGGTAAAAATAAAAAAAATTGCTAAAATTGTATGTCTTCTGTGAATTACAAGGAAAAATGATCAGTCGAGGTGCTTCGGATAGCCAAATGACTAAAAATGTATGTATTACAACCTCCCCGTGAAATGTGGAAGTACTCAAAAGAAGTTAACAGTCAGAATGTAACCATAGTAATTTTTGATTATGGTATGACAGCACCATCTAGTGGGGTGTACTTTTCACCTTTCTACCATTTATACTTTTTGCAATATTTCAGTTTTTCGGTACAATTAGAAGTGATCATGAGAGTGCCAGAATTCTTAAGATGGTCTTATTTTCATGATACCAATTGGAAAAACTGCGCCAGGTAAAGAAGTTCAGACGGTATCCACTTCACCCATGGTGGAGCACTTTTCATTTGTTATGTGCTTATCGATTTCCTACACACTCTGTCCGCACGCACTACTCCATCTTGGGGTGCGCTTCAGCTTGGTAAGTTAGTAACTGAAGCACACTATAGGGTAGTGTTGTGCCGCTACCAGTGACTATGGTTACATGCTGCTGACTGCAAACCTCTTTTGAATATTTCAACATATCATGGGGAGTTTGTAATATATAAATCTCTAGGGACTTGTCTTTCCAAAGCACCTAGACTGATCTTTAATTATTTTTATTCACAAAAGTCTTACAACTTTTTCTTCACTTGAGCATTTTTTACATTCATAAAAGTATTTAAATTTCTGCTCTCTATACTTTTAAGATTAATACCACTTCTTCATACTTTCATAATTTTACATTCATATGCCTTTTTTATACCACAGCTCTGTAACAATTCTATATCGACAAATATTGACAGGTCTTACAACTTTGTCTTCACGTGAGCATTTTTTACATTCATACAAGTTTTTAAACTTCTGCTCTTAATACTTTTGAGATCAATACCACCTATTTAGCACTTTAATAATTTTGCATTTATACAGCTTTTAGCTACAGCTCTGTAACACTCTTTATATTTGTATGTAGGGCAGCAACTGAAGCTCACCACTAGATGCGGCTGTCATACCATAATCAAATATTTCAGTGGTGATGTGCCGCCTGCAAACATCTTTTTTATGTAGGGCAGTGACAGAAGCACACCACCAGATGGTGCTGTTTTTCCATTATTACAAATCACTACGGTTACATGCTGCTGACTGCAAACATCTTTTCAGTATTCACACATGGAGCGGGGCCATTGTTTTGTTTAGGCATTAGCCGTTTTGTTTTGAATGGACTCTCAAAGGCTTAAAAACTTGTTTTTTGGATAAAAAAATGTACTATTTTTGATCAGGGCAGAAGTTAATTGAGAGATGTGTGAAAAAAAATCTGGAAAAAAAATGAATCCAATATGTTTTTACAGCAGTCGATGTCAGAGGCCTTTTTTAGCCACTGAGCATGTACAAAGCAGGTTTTTTGGTAATCTGATCCTACGAAAAAAACTTAAAAGGTTTCATAGTCAATGATATTACGAATCCTTTACATATTCAGGACTATAAAACCCTGCAAGAGATATCCAGTTTCAGGTTATGTTTTCTAATAAAAATCAGTCTCTCTTCTTAAGATGGTCTTATTTTCATGATACCACTTATAACAATAGGTCAATGAACTGACAGGTCATCATAACAACAGGTCACCATAACATTCAACACCATCCAACCGATCATACTCAAAGACAAGCCCACAGAGATGGGCGTGGATCCTACCTGTGTTTCCTGGATCACAAATTGCCTGACAGGAATCACACAGTTCTTCACGCTGGGGAACTGTGTTTCTGGGCCTTATTGAGAAGTACAGGGGTTCCACAACGGACGGTCCTGGCTCCATTCCTATTGACAGGGTATACACCAGACTTCAAATACAGCACTGAGTCCTGAAATTTTTGTAGAGGGCGCTATGACCACATTTTTGTTGGAAATCCATTTTGACAGTGGAAAACTTTTTGTTTAACTTTGAGTCCAACGTAGGTGTCATTGAATCCCTCGGTTTAGGTCAAACACAGGAGCTGAACTTACATTTTGAAATTTTGTAGAGGGAGAAATGAAGGAATTTTTTGATGGGTCCCCAATTTTTACATTGGCAACCATTTCTTTTCCTCTTGGGGTTCAAGATAAGTGTCATTGAATCCACTTGTCTGGACCGCAGGAGCGGGTTTACGTTTTGAAATTTTGAAGGTGGCGCTATGGGGCCTTTTTATGATGGATATCCATTATGACAGTTAAACCTTTTTTGTTCGTCTTGAGGTCAAACATAAGTGTCATCAATTTCATAGGTTTAGGTCAAACACAGGAGCGTGGTTCACATTAAAGAAATTTGAAGGTGGCGCCATAGAGCCATGTTTTGATGGATCTCCATTTTGATATTCAAACTGTTTTTGTTCGTGTTAAGGTTCAACTTCAGTGTCACTAATTCCACAGGTTTTGGACGCACACCAGAGCAGGGCTTTCATTTAGAAATGTTGTAGAGAACGCAGTCGTGCCATTTTCAGTTGGATCCAAGATAAGTATCTGTTAGTCCATTGGTCTGAGTCACTCAAAGAAGCAGGGGTTTCATTTTGAAATTATGAAGGGGGTGCTATGTAGCTATTTCTTGAAGGACCTCAATTTTGACATTGAACCCATTTTTGTTTGTCTTGAGGTCAAACATAAGTGACATCAATTCCAAAGGTTTTGGTCAAACACAGGAGCGGGGCTTACTTTTTTTTTTTAATTTGAAGCTGGCACTCTGGAGCTATTTGAAGTTGATTCTCCATTTTGATGCTGGAGCCCTTTATGTTCAACTTTCGGTTTGTCATAATTGTACTTTATTTCAAAAGTTTGGTTCGTACACAGAAAAAGGGCTTTTATTTTTCAATTGGGTAGGGGGCAATATGTGACCATTGATGGTTGGTTCTCCATTTTGACATTTTCTTCATCACAGGGTGATGAGACTCATTTGTAATAATGGAAAAACAGCACCATCTAGTGGTGTGCTTCAGTGACTACCCCACATAAAAATGTAGAAAATATTACAGAGCTGAAGCTAAAATACTTGGATGAAGGTAAAAATAAAAAAAATTGCTAAAATTGTATGTCTTCTGTGAATTACAAGGAAAAATGATCAGTCGAGGTGCTTCGGATAGCCAAATGACTAAAAATGTATGTATTACAACCTCCCCGTGAAATGTGGAAGTACTCAAAAGAAGTTAACAGTCAGAATGTAACCATAGTAATTTTTGATTATGGTATGACAGCACCATCTAGTGGGGTGTACTTTTCACCTTTCTACCATTTATACTTTTTGCAATATTTCAGTTTTTCGGTACAATTAGAAGTGATCATGAGAGTGCCAGAATTCTTAAGATGGTCTTATTTTCATGATACCAATTGGAAAAACTGCGCCAGGTAAAGAAGTTCAGACGGTATCCACTTCACCCATGGTGGAGCACTTTTCATGTGTTATGTGCTTATCGATTTCCTACACACTCTGTCCGCACGCACTACTCCATCTTGGGGTGCGCTTCAGCTTGGTAAGTTAGTAACTGAAGCACACTATAGGGTAGTGTTGTGCCGCTACCAGTGACTATGGTTACATGCTGCTGACTGCAAACCTCTTTTGAATATTTCAACATTTCATGGGGAGTTTGTAATATATAAATCTCTAGGGACTTGTCTTTCCAAAGCACCTAGACTGATCTTTAATTATTTTTATTCACAAAAGTCTTACAACTTTTTCTTCACTTGAGCATTTTTTACATTCATAAAAGTATTTAAATTTCTGCTCTCTATACTTTTAAGATTAATACCACTTCTTCATACTTTCATCATTTTACATTCATATGCCTTTTTTATACCACAGCTCTGTAACAATTCTATATCGACAAATATTGACAGGTCTTACAACTTTGTCTTCACGTGAGCATTTTTTACATTCATACAAGTTTTTAAACTTCTGCTCTTAATACTTTTGAGATCAATGCCACCTATTTAGCACTTTAATAATTTTGCATTTATACAGCTTTTAGCTACAGCTCTGTAACACTCTTTATATTTATATGTAGGGCAGCAACTGAAGCTCACCACTAGATGCGGCTGTCATACCATAATCAAATATTTCTATGGTGATGTGCTGACTGCAAACATCTTTTTTATGTAGGGCAGTGACAGAAGCACACCACCAGATGGTGCTGTTTTTCCATTATTACAAATCACTACGGTTACATGCTGCTGACTGCAAACATCTTTTCAGGCTGTGTCTCATTTCAGAGACCGCATCGTGATAAGCGCGCTTAACGGCGATTAGCTGAGTGCACTGCCGTTTTGAGCCGTTTTACGCCGTTTTGCGCCGTTCTGTGCCCTTCCTGTGTCCCATTTCAGATACAGCAGCCATCGAACGGCGCATCTGACGCGTACGTGAGGTCACCACGCGGCACGAACGGTGTCCCGTTTGGCACAAAATACTAATTGCGCTTCAAATTCGGTCTCAAAACCACACTACCCCCGCCTCTTTTTCAAGCGTGCATGTATGCACGCTTTCGTGCCGTCGGTATCCCAGAATTCTTTGCGTGCCGCTGCACAGCTGTGCATTTCAGGTGAGAGGCTGGACTCGCTTGGAGACACAGCGCGTCTTCAAAGAAAATACAAGAAATCCAAAACCAGTAGACAGTCAGCTCAGGCTGTATGAGAGCATGATCTCTGAACTCACTAAAATCTGTAAACCAAACATTAGAGATTTAGAGACGAACTGATCCGCTGTGTTACAACTATCAAAAACATTAGAAATAAGAAAGCTGACAAAACTACAGCAGAGTATCAGGACAACATTGAGGTTTTTTTTTTTTTTTTAAGATTTAGAGATTAAAGTTGTACATTTAGGAGAATAAACTCATAAAGTAAATAAAGTCATAAAGCTGCTTTTGTGGAGGGGGAAATGACTGAAGTTGGTCATCTGCAGGGTTATCTGTGGATGTATCAGCGGGTCATTAAGAGAGATTTTGTGGTTTCTGAAGAAACAATCAAACTGATGATGATCAACATTTGAGACCCAGAGGGAGTCGAGCTCCGACGAGCACCACGACTCTGACACCGGCCGTAGCCTACACCTGCAGAGACACCAACACCTTATTACGGCATATGGATTCATATCATAAATTAAAGCTCAATGTCATTCACGGCTATTTACGGCTGCATTGACAGATATATCCTCAGCATATTCATTTATGCCTCCACAAAAGCAGCGATTTCCTTCAAGTACACCAATATTTTTCCCCCGTGGAAAAGACGTATTTCTCATATATTCTTTTTAAAGTCTTTATACTTATGACAGTGTTATGCTGATGTGCCAGAGGATGAAGAATCTCCTTGTTTGTGAAACCTATACTGAAGCACAGTTCCTTCAAATGCTTCATGGCCCTAATTTTAACAAGTCTCTCTGAAATAACAGGTTATGACTTCATTCTCATAAATTAATGACTTTATTCTCGTAAATTCACGACTTAAATCTCGAAGTCCTTAAAGTCTTAAATCTCAATATGGCCCTCATACTCCTTCTTACAAAACAATCATTGGATGAATTGTGCTTGTATATATCTACTATTTTGTGTCTGTGCAAGGTCGCACAATTAAAACAATAAATGCTGCGCTCCGCGGGTTTCCTTTAAGTCAGTCGTGACGCGAGCCTGAGGGCGGGGACATTTGGCAACTCCACCAGGAAGCCCTCCGAAGGTCTCCAAATGTCCCCGCCCTCAGGCTTACGTCACGACTGATTAGAAAAAAGCTGCGGAGCGCAGCATGTATTGTTTTAATTGTGCGACCTTGCACAGACACAAAATAGTAGATACATACAAGCCCAGATCATTCCCACAAAATTCATCCAATGATTGTTTTGTATGAAGGAGTATGAGGGCCCTATTGAGAAGGAGGATAGGAGATACTTCATCCTCTGGCACATCAGCATCACATTGTCATAAGTATAAAGACTTTAAAAAAAGAATATATGAGAAATACGTCTTTTCCACGGGGAAAAAAACTGGTGTACTTGAAGGAAATCGCTGCTTTTGTGGAGGCATAAATGAATATGCTGAGGATATATCTGTCAATGCAGCCGTAAATAGCCGTGAATGACATTGAGCTTTAATTTATGATATGAATCCATATGCCATAATAAGGTGTTGGTGTCTCTGCAGGTGTAGGCTACGGCCGGTGTCAGAGACGTGGTGCTCGTCGGAGCTCGACTCCCTCTGGATCACAAATGTTGATCATCATCAGTTTGATTGTTTCTTCAGAAACCACAAAATCTCTCTGAATGACCCGTTGATACATCCACAGATAACCCTGCAGATGACCAACTTCAGTCATTTGAAGTCATTGAAGGTGGCGCTATGGGGCCTTTTTATGATGGATATCCATTATGACAGTTAAACCTTTTTTGTTCGTCTTGAGGTCAAACATAAGTGTCATCAATTTCATAGGTTTAGGTCAAACACAGGAGCGTGGTTCACATTAAAGAAATTTGAAGGTGGCGCCATAGAGCCATGTTTTGATGGATCTCCATTTTGATATTCAAACTGTTTTTGTTCGTGTTAAGGTTCAACTTCAGTGTCACTAATTCCACAGGTTTTGGACGCACACCAGAGCAGGGCTTTCATTTAGAAATGTTGTAGAGAACGCAGTCGTGCCATTTTCAGTTGGATCCAAGATAAGTATCTGTTAGTCCATTGGTCTGAGTCACTCAAAGATGCAGGGGTTTCATTTTGAAATTATGAAGGGGGTGCTATGTAGCTATTTCTTGAAGGACCTCAATTTTGACATTGAACCCATTTTTGTTTGTCTTGAGGTCAAACATAAGTG